TTGCTTTCAAAAAGTTATTTACACACAAAGTGGACAGCAGTTTCGATCTCGCATCACAATAGACTTATAAGCGAAACTAGTCGATTTACGAAATTACAGTCGATCTTTACCAAGAATTCTAGTCGCTATAGCTTGCACCTTGGGGAAATCAGACTAGCAGTCATTCATAAGCTTATCTGAAATAAGGTGAATACAGCTCATATTTAAGAGCTAGCTATGAATATAACTAACACAGTCGATTGTAAGAGCAAAATACCAATTTACCTTATCGACAATCCCTTTTTAAAGTTGATACGAGACACTTGACCTATTTTGAAAGACACGTCTGCCAAATAATAAATTTGCAGATATGGCAGTATAGTTTAGTATTAAAACATCCAACATAAACACCGCGCTCTTGGGACTACCAGTAGATCATATATGAGATAGCCATTGAGCTTTACATAGCCTTTCCAAGAGGTACTGGAAAGCAGTACTATGTGCAACTCCATGGAAACATAAGGTTTATTAATATTATTGTGGGCGAGTTCAACTACCAATCCCCTTATAATTTTAAACTATATCCACAAGGCCAAATGAAGTTTGATGGAATCATAAAGCCTACTCATATAATTGTGGGTAGACTAAAATATCAACCCTAAATTACCTAGTTCCACCTAGGGTAATCACAACTCATATTCAAGATTTAATGGTAGTTATGAAAATCTACTATTTCAGAATAAAGTGGATAAATAAGCTTGGCGCTATTAATTATCCAGAACTAAGTCCAACGAATGAGGAGCATCTAGCATTTCTGGGGCAAATATTTTTGCTAATGTAGGCGCTGCCAGACAAGCCAAGAGCCTATGAATGAGAATAAAACTACAGACATAGAAAGTGGCCTTATCAGACTTAGGCTTTTAATATTAGACGCTGAATTGAAATCACACTTTGAGCTATCAATGCAGAATAGCCAGTATTCTAAAGGCTGCTAAAAAGGAAGTATGATGGGGTAATTGAAGATCATAATACAGGCTTTGTTAAGATAGTAGGAAAAATGAGATTCCAACGTGCATGAAGAGGCCATCCATCATGATCCAGGCTCAAATTTATGCAATGAGCTTTCTTTGACGCATTTAATTGGCTGGCCATAGGCATGCTGGATCGAGGCTATGGCCATGAGTAAAAGTGTAATATTATACATCCATATTAATTCAACGCCTTTTATTCGTTTTCTTTAAAGATTCGTCACCACTTCGGCTGGTCAGCTCTTCAACTTGTTTTTCTTGGTTTTGCCAACCAGTATGGTGAATTGGCGACAGCAATAAACAATGAAGATATCCTAACTTTATGGATGGAGGAGTTAAAGTACAGGCTTCAACACGATTTCAGGCCGTTCTTTGTCTTCTGGGGCCTGCCATTGGTGGCTAGGAGCTCGAGTGAAAATAATCATGATTATACTGCCATGCCAAACAGAATTGAATCAGGCAAGAGCAACACTGAGCAAATGTTGCCAGGCTTCTTGCCCGTTGATCTTGTTACCAATCTGGCACCAGAGCGTCTGCTTCGTGTAGCTAAGCAATTCGGAGTTGATCTTGATGACACAACAAAGAATACGAAGAATTTGTCTATTCCTTCGGATGCCCCTCAGTTAGGCTCTATGGGTTGGCGTAAGAAGGTGGCCAGTGGTGTACTTAGCTGGTGGCCCTGTCAGGATCGAGACCTTTCTCCGCACCAAGCAGGCTTCTCTCGAGTCTCGGAAATTCAGGTGTCGACAGATGATGATAATGAAGATACCAAATACGAAGAGGAGGATGAGGAAGAAGAGAGTCATCCACAGAGCAATGAGAAACATTCAAGGATGGGACTTATTCAGCTTGTTAGATGGCCCAAATGGGCAAGATTATTCTTAGATGTTATGAGAGAATGCAAGCCAGCAGAGAGAAGCGAAGATTTGAACTAAACTTTGTGAAAATAGATCGTTTATATTGCTTTCATTACGTCATTTTTTTCCGGTATAAGCAACAAAAAAAAGCAAGAGTAAATGCGGCATTCAAGCTTTCCGTCTAGGCGGTAGTGACTCAACCCCATCCGTTTTCACTACACCGGCTTAGCTCCTTCATATGATAGAGAAACGCGACCTGGTTCTGCTCTTTTACTTTCCTTTTCCGACTGCCATCCGATTCTAGGCTTGACTTATTTAGACAGTTAACTGCTACCGAAGGTACCATCCGTACCTGAAACCACATTTCGATCCGCCAGACACCATTCTCTTACGCAAAGCCGAGCCAAGCATCTGAAATCAGCCAAAAGCTGACCTTCATACATCGGCGGGACGATAGTTTGGCTGCCTTTTCATGTCACTCTATCCACACCGAGCGACAGCACCTCACCTTTCTCGTCGTACCTTCAGATCGGTCACCCCTAACGCATCACTTCTCCTTCTTATCATGCGCAGATAAGCCCGATGCCTGACATCCCAACAACATAGAGCCCCTCATGAAGGTTCGCGACCAGATAAGCCACACAATTTACTCAACTGAGAGCGCTTTCCCAGTCATTCATATGTCCCCAAGTTGCCCAGTCAGAGACCAGTTTTGCTGCTGACTTGTATATCTTTTTTCCAGTACAATATTCCACTCGGCTTACATCCTGATAATTTTTTTTTCTGATGCTTCCTCTTCGTACACTCAGGTATTCCGTTCACAACCACTTTTCACTCACTAGTTTGGAAGTATTAGCATCAAAAAGGTCGTATAAACTGGTGACGGAAGTTACCTTTGATAGCAAAAATTCCTTATTAGTAAGAATATAGATCGAGCCCTAATAGTGTTTCGGGTATTTTAAAGGCGGATTTAGCGGAATATAGCGGAATATAGCGGAGCTAAAGGCAACCATAATACCAGGTGATTCCTAAGTGGTTCTGATTCAGGAATCAATGTGCTTCCGAAACGAATGATCAGAGCGATTCCAAATAAAAATCTGAGCCATCTTTTGATACGCTATGCGCGCTATAACAGCAGTGACGACTTCATATTCATGATACAATGGCTGCATGTGTAAATACCTCAAACAGTGTTAGAGCAATTATTGAGTCGACTCTGGCAAAACAAGAACAACTCGGACCATTATCATGACTTAAAAACCAGTGCTCCTACGAGAAACTGCAAACGGTAGAACGTCGATACTCAGTAAAGTCTCCAAGTTCCACTATTACATCCCTCCTTAGTTAGGTAGTTGACATGTTGTAGATAAAAAGACACGACGAAGCCTTGAAACACACAGAGATGAGGACGTGATAAAGGGAACTAAAACAAATCCACACCAAGCAATGAAGAATTTTTAAATAAAGTCGAGTCTGTAGGCATTCAGGTATTCCCCATCAGTGGTGAACTGTAGGGCCATATAAGAGCAATGCAGGCTAAGACAACCATATATTATTGTTCTCCCATGTATAAATAGTGAGCAAGTCGCAAAAATATCAGGTT